ATGAAACCATGTTCATCCAGGATCAGGTTTCCAGGGCCCCATTTTAGAAACAAGCATAGCTCAAACCAGGCTGAGCTTAAGAGCATTCCATGACAAGCAACAGAAGCTTTGCAAACTATGGTCAGAAGACACATTTCATGACCTTTAGCCTGACAAATAGTGTGTGGATTGTTGCTTTATCCCCAGAGGAGGAGCACATAGGAAATATAAAAAAGCAAGGTAGCAAAAGTCTTCAGAACTGTTGTAGAAACTGTAGCATTGCAAATACATCTCCACAAGCAAAATTTTATCAAGTCTTTAGCACAGCAATTTCCAAAGTTTTCCTTCCTTTACTGGGACTTCTTGAGATTTTCAGATAGATATGCTGTCTCATGTTGATTCTAAGATAATGGACCAGTAGTGGTTTGAATTGAGCTGTATGGATCTTTTTTTCAAGAGAAGTGTTGTATAACCTTGCTTCCCTATTCCTTCTCAGGACCCTAGCCTATACACAATAAACTTATGCTAATAGAAGTTTTTAAGATAATTCATTTTTAGAAGTGACATCTTAAAGGAAACCTAATAAATGACAGACCTTTTGTTTACAGCAGTCTTTCTTAATCCTTAGTAGCTTTCCACATTTTCACTTAACCACAGTGAGCTATGCTTCTAAAGTATTGACTAGAAAATTCCAGAATTACTGATTTATAAGTTTCCAATTACTCTCATTAGAGTATGTTATTATAATTGTTCTGTTCTATCATTAGTTATTGTTATTAATTTCGTGTTCTTAATTATCAATTCAACCGTATATGGAGTAGGAAAAGATTAATAGGTGGGTATAGAATTCAGTAGAGTTCAGTAACTGCTGTGAGTTCTGTCACATACTGGGGTCTTGGAACATATTCTCTGAAGATAAATGAGGTGGAATTGTACTTAATTTTTTAAAATAAAGTATTTCATAACATTCAAAAATTTAAAGTAACATTGTACATCTGTTGACATATATTCTCAATAGTAAATGCATAAATGAAGGGAAAGGAACAACAATTGAAAATCTTTTCATTGCTTTTTTGATATTTTTGTTTTGTTTTGTTTTTGATCATCTTGCTTCTGTTTCTAGGGAGATCTGAAACCTTTGAAACCATTACTTTTCATGAACTATACCTACATTTTTAGTGTTATTCTTTCAAGACTAATTAGCCAAGTCTATGGGAAAAAATGAATATGAAGTTATTTTTTACAAAGATGGAATTACTGACTTGGAATCTGATTTTCTACTAGAAGGCACATTGACTGGTGAGAAAGGAGATGCTATCAAGACCAAAGAGGCACACTGGACACCTGGGGGATCAAACCCCTTATTTACAGAATTTTACAGTGTTTTTCTCAAGTGGCTAACGTTAGCTGTCCCTTTGCATTTAGTGTGACACATCTGCTAAGGAGGATTTCTCACAAACACAGTCTCCTTTCAAGTCCGTACTGAATACAGTTCATTCTCAGCCAAAACTCTCTCTGGGAGAAATGTTAATGGATTTCAAAACTATTTTTATTTATTCTTTGAGAATTTCATACATGTATACAGTGTATCTTTATCATGTGGACTCTGTTCTTCAATTCCTCCAAGACCCTTCCTAGCATGTCTCCCTCTCAACTGCATATACTCATTTCTTTATGACTCACTGAGTCCAGTTAGTGCTGCCATGTGTGTATGAGTGTAGGCTCTCCCCTGGAGCAGGGACCACTTGCCAGGGGCCATGTCCAGGAAGAAAACTGGTTCATCCTCCTCCAGCAGTAAACAACTGCTAATAGTTTCTCTTCTAGGGGCGGAGCTTCATGACCTTCCACCGATCCACGCTGGAATTTCGACTAAGGAGCCATGGCATGTCTTCTAATGGGGATTTTTAGAACACTGAAGGGTGCTTGTGAATTTTCTGGACAGATCTTTAGCTTCAAATTCATGACATTTCCCTATTAGATACTCTTTCTGGAGCTGTTTGCCCAGAGATTCATAGGCTTTGCTTAGGCAATGACTAGGTCCCATTTCTTTTTATAAAGCTCAGGATATTTCTTTAAGGGTGAAGGGGGAACTGGATAGGTTAGGGGCCTAGCTAGTGTTATCTGATCTCACTTACCCTTGGGCTTTTTTGAATCTGGCTGCTCTTCATACAGTCTGAAAATATGCACCAGCCCTTTCACAGAAATTGAGAAGTGGTCACTGGAGTCAGAAAGCTGGGTTGGAAGACAGGATCATCTAATTGTTTACTACCTGTGAGGCTTTAAGCAAGCTACTTCTTAACTCTCTGCCTCAATTTGCTTAACAAGACAATGAAGACAATAATGAATAAACTAGAAAAATGTTGGCAAAATTAAGGAGATATTACACGTAAAGCTATTAGTGTGGTGCGTGTGGTGCATATGGTAAACATTTAAATAAAATTTAGTTATAAAATATATCAACAACCAAAAGTTTAAAAGAGTCCAGGGTTTTAAGAAAACACAATGGGTTGGAGGAAGAGAGTGTGGAAAAACATGGGACCTCAAATGTGGACTGAGAGATCATTTCTGGGTAAAAAACAGTCTGACAAATTCCTGGACCTTGGACAAAGTAGGATTACTTTTATGGCTGTTGAGGTCAGGAGGGAGAGAGGGGAGGAGAGAGAGGGTGGAGAAACATGTGGGACAGGGATAGGGAAACTGGACTGTGGGGTGAGGGGAAAAGAAACCCTGGAGTTGGAAAACAGGTGCTGTTTTTGAAGACTGTCCTTTGAGCTGAGTCTTTGGGTGTTATCTGTATCTGCTGACGCAGTAGTCAGTCAGGTTGACTTTCTTCAAGTACTTCTCAAAAATTCCCATAATGTCATCTTAAAAGTCAAAGTGTCCACATTCCTCCTTGCCTCCTTTTTCCTTGAAAATCATAACCAGAATAAATAAATAAATAAACAAATAAACATTTTTCTATGGAGTTCTGGTTAAACATCTAAGTTCTGCTTGCCCCACCCACAGGAGTCCATCCAGACACTTTAACCAGACCTGTAGAGTCAAGAGGGAAGGCTCCTGCAGTTTCCCAATATGCGACTGGAAAACAGAGATCTAATCTGGATTCTCTTGCTTGGTCAGGATTTACTTTCCTAGGCTGAAACAGTTGGCCACGGAGGCATTTCCCCACCCCCCACATTCAGCAAACACTGGAGGTAAAAATGTCAGTTTGTGAATATGTCTTCCCTTTAACAAAGAAAGATCATCCTAGGATAATCTTCAGATTCCCTGTAATTGTATTTCTTGATTTCCCTGGCTTGATTTCTTAAAACAAGACATAGATACAAAATTATAATTTCCTATCAAATACAAATCTTCCTTTTTAAAGTTATAAAATACCCATATTCCAACTTCCACTTAGGAAAACCCAGAAGCATTTTACTGGCCATTCAGGAAATTTTAAAATGTTTGTAAAGGAATAGAATTTTGTGTGGCAAAGTTGTCAAGTATTGAGTTCTTTGAAAGTGTAATTTCTGTGATTATATATATATATATATATATATATATATATGTATGTATATAAAATTTGGTTTAAGAATATTCAATTTAAAAAGGAAGAAGAAGATTCAATTTAGTACACCCAGGCTTGTTATTCTGAAGGAGGTGCTGGTTGGTTTATTCTACAGCCGTTAACAGAGAATCTCTTAAGTATCAAGACTGGGTTCCTTGGACAAGCTGTAGCCATTACAAAGCTCACCGAGGCTCCGAGATAAAGGATCGTAAAGAAGTCCAACTCTAGCGTTGAAACAGACAGAAAATAAACAAAATCTACTAGCATAAAAGAGGAAAAATTACAAAACTTCTGAAGCTGGGTCAGAATGATAAACTCGAGGCTGGTGGGAGGAATTATTCTTATAAATCTCCTTAGGATAGTTAACAAAATTTGTTAATTTAAAAAAAAAAAAAAAAAAAAAAAAAAAAGAACCAGGAAACGATCCCTAATAGCACTGTGACTTGGTGTTCGGGTACTCAAAGCACAGTAAGCTAGCTCCAGGGAATGTAAGCAGTTTCAGGACATTTTCTAAAGTATTCTTTGTAGTGTGCAAAAGCTTAGAATGTGGTTAGTGTTATGCACTGGTTCCCTTTTCTGTAAATGCTTAAAGAGGCAACTTATTTTAAGGATAAATCACTGTAGGATTTTGCCCCGTAGGAACCAAGTGCCAGCCTCCTTGCGCTTCCCCGGGAAACGGAGGCGCACAGCTCCGAGCCCTTAAAAGTTTTGCAATGAATGAGTGAATGAATGAAACCGGGCCCCGACGCTTCAGGCTGGAAAGCAAGCAGAAACTTTCTGGTCTCACTGCAAGCTCAAAGCCTGCAAATTTAGGACCCAGAGCAGCCAGGACTGCTGACAGTGGGTCTGTGTCTCTTAACCTAGACACCTGTTCACAGGTGTGTTTTTGACTGAGCAGCCTCCGCCAGGCGCCAGTTAGCCCCTGGGCTAGAGGAGAAGCAGATGCCTCCAGGGGGATCTAAGGAACTTTCTGGTCTTTTCTGGGCTGCTAGTAGCTCTGAAGATTCAAGTTGGAGCCAACCTAGAGACTCCACTCCTCCATTCACACTAGAGCATATCCAAGTCTGATTCCCTAATCCGACGGGAGAATCCCTTCCTTCTCTTTCCTGATTTTTTTTCCCCCGAGCGACGGAGCAATTAAATTACAGGGAACGAGAAAGAGAACCCAGACCACTAGGAAAGTTACAGTGTTTCTTTGGGGGGCGATGACGGTGCGGGTTGTTTGGACTGTGGCAGAGCTGTGGGGCCCAGACTGGGAGCGGCGCTGAGCGGGACCGGTTTTCCGGGGCTGGCAGCTGCCTAGCAAAAGTTTCCTGTGGAACAGTGGCCGGCGGGGGCGGGGGCGGGGGCGGCAGGCTCAGCCCAGGACCCGGGGGCGGGGTGCGAGCGGCTAGAGGCTGGCCCGAAGACCGTTAGTGAGGCTCGCTCTGCCCCGGGGCCCCCTGGCTCGCCTCCCTGCTGCGCGGCTGCCCACCTGGCGACGTGACGCTCGACCAATCCCCTTCGAGCTCCTCAGGCCCCTTCGCCTTGCGCCGCCCCCCTCCTCACCCTGAAAGGCGCACCCTGTCCCAGCCGCTGAGCGCTCTCGCCGCGGAGCACCCTTCTGGTTTCTTCGTCTCGGACGGACGGACGTCGGAGCTCTTCTCTTCCCCTTAGCCAGACTTACTTTCCCGCCTCTCGAAAACTCCAGCTTCACTCTTCCTCCTCTCTTCAGCTCGCTCTTTTCCACTCCGTTCCCCTCCTCTCCCACGCCACAAAACCCACGTCCCCTTTCCTCTCTCCCATCCCCTCCTCCCTCCCGGGACCTACTCCCTCCCCGGGACCCCCTTAAACTCTTCTTCCTCCCTCATCTCAGAGACTCAGTCTCAGCGCTCCTGCTGTACTCGGTCTCCTGCTTCGGTTCTTCTCGAAGTCATGGCAGGACCTGGAAGTTGGAGGGACAAGGAGGTGACAGATCTGGGCCACTTACCGGTAAGTACAGAAGTAAAAGGACCCTAGGCCAACGCCCTCCTTGAGCGCTTCTCTCTGAGTCCGTTGGGGGGGGGGAGGGGGCCCACACCCTGGGCAGCCTAGGCCAGGACTTCGACGGGCCATGGCTCACGATGGGCCAGGGAAGCTCCTGAACGGAATCTGTATCCCTGGGCTCCTTGCTAAGGTGAAGGCCACAAAAAGCAAAGGGGCCGGTGAGGTTGGGGTGAAAGTAGTGGGTCCTACAGGGTGGGGCCTTTTCTAAGTAGAGCCCGCTTTGTCTAGCTGCTCCTGGGTACCTGTAATAGCAGAGTCCATGGAGAGGACAAGTGGCTACGACCTTCCCCCTCCCCTTCCCCCCCTCCATGCTTCTTTTGCCAGTAGAGATCTCTGCCTATGGGTGACCCCTTAAAAATAAGGAGCACTAGGAAATTGAAGCATCGAGTCACACTGATCTCACTTTGTGGTAGCAGTTTCTAAAAGTTTATTCTCACCAGGAAAATGTTCTCGATTTGGTATTGCTGGAGGGAAAAGAACTCGACGGCGCCTGGATAAAAACTGAATTCTATACATGCCTTTTAAGTTTTGAAACAATTTATTATGCTCCTTAGATAACTAAATATAATTTTTTTTTTGTTCGTGGTTATGTGCAGGATCTCCTTTTGCTCCATGTCCAGTTGAAATTGATTGGTGAACTATTAAAGTCATCATAAACAGCGAGCAGACTTACTACTGTAACAACACCGTTTATTTCATTGGCATCTGGTTTCTGGCTGATACTGGATCCCACCCAAATCCATTTTTCAAGTTCCCTTTTTAGACTGGCATTTCACTTGCACCGTCTCTTGAATGCAAAGGGCCCCTGGACTCTCCAAAGGAGAACTAAGCAGGCGCTGTTCTGGAATGATCGCCAAGCATGTGTGGTTCAGGGCATTGGCCTCCTTGCCTTGAGAAAAGCTAAATATTAACTGTGAGGTTATAGGACTATTCAAAGTCATCTTGCCTTAATTAATTTTGTGTATGTTTGGTATTTAAAGATATGGGTTGCTAAAGAAAGCAGATACCTGCGTCCCTAAAAAGGGGACACGCCCTAGGCCTCCTTTTATAATTTTACAGTACGTGGTATGGTATGTGGTAAGGGGAAGTGATCTACATGGGCAATATTTTAGCAAACTTATCAATCATTAAGAAAACGTACTGTTGAATGGCAACTGTTAGAAATGCTGTTATTGTTGCAACTCCATAAAACAAGCCAAAGGTTAACAAAATTAAACCATTTTTTTTCATCCTACACACACCCGAAACCATTTCTTTTCCAGGATGTATACATGATATGGATTTTGGAGGACTTAATTGGTGGATTGACTTTTGAGCAGAATTTTCTTTTTCAGATTACGATTGATTTGTTTGTAAATAATACTGTAAAGCCAGTGAATGAGCTGCTCACCTCCTCAGCATTCTGTGTGCATGTGTGCATGTGTGTGTGTGTGTGTGTGTGTGTGTGTGTGTGTGTGTGTTGCTCATCTCCTCAGCATTTTTCAGCATTCTGGGTGTGTGCGTGGCTGTGTGCCTGTGTGTGCTGCTCACCTCAGCATTCTGGGTGTGTGTGCATGCGCGTGCACGCGCTCGCGCGTGCGTGCCTGTGTGTGTGTGTACGTGTGCGCGTGTGCGCCTGTGTGTATGTGTGTGTGTCTTGCTAACCTCAGCATTCTGGGTGCATGAGTGTGTGCATGAGTGAGTGACTGTGTGCATGTGTGAGTGTGTGTGTGTAAGCACATATGAACAAGCTGAAATAAACTGCTATCTAAAAATGACCAAATTGGGGAATGGAAAAAACCTTATAGAAATTGATAGCACAGGGATCTCCAAACCCAAAGAATAACAAACACAAAAACGTATAGGTGCTATTACCACAAACATTGGGGACAAATTCCCTGGATTGACTAACCTGGTCATGTCTTTGGAACACACAGATCTAATGAGAGTCCATGAGATAAGCAAAAAGGCTGGAGTCTTTATATTATAATTCACTAAGCATTAGTGTTCTCAAGATTGGATGATGGTGGCGGTGGGTACAGGAGAAAAAGATGAGATTCTTTTGTAATTTTATGGTACAAATGAGATTTTCTCTCATTTTAAAACATGGGAGGTGCAATTTAGGAAAATTATTATATTTCAGAATTTTATATTAAAGTAATTTTCTGTACTATCTGAGCAAATCATGGGTAATTCTCCCCTCTCAATAGATGCAAATTCAAAGAAAAGAAATATAGCGGAACAGCATCATATTCTTCAATATTTTCTTTACAATAAATGTTTACAGATTTAAAGTCATTCTTTCTTTAGTCACTGAGCTATAGTTTTTGTTTGTTTGTTTGTTTGTTTGTTTTACTAGTGCCGGCTGCAAAGTGAGTTGCAGCATAGCCTGAACTTCCAGAAAGACCCTTTTCATAGCACAAAACAACAAAAGAGTGATATAAACTTACGTGGTGTTTTAATTAGATAAGATTTATACCTAAAACATTAAGCAGTAGTGAAATTAGAGGAGAGAAATTAAATAAATTTCACAATTGTAAATGTTATTTTGATGCAATTATAAAGCTCCTTGCATAGGGGCCTCAGAGTCATAGATAAGAAAACCATTACAATTATCAGTGAATAGTGCCAATTTAATCATATTTGCTCTTTGTTTTTAAGACAGGCTTTCATGTAGACCTGGCAGGCTTCCAGTTATTTATGTAGCTGACACTGGTCTGGAGCTCTTGGTTCTTCTGTCTATATTTTCTAAGTGCTCGTATTAAAAATGGATCACCAGAGAATAATAGTTTTTAATGACTTGCTCTAACTTTTCACGATTTTTAATTGAATATATACTTCCTATAGGAGAAGAAAAGCACAGATTTGTGGCTAATGCTTCGTTTCTTTGCGAAGAAAATTGTATTGTTGTATGTGTTTATAATTATAACTGTATATTACATTTTTGTTAATTTATAAAGTATTATATGTGTATGTATGACCGGTAAACCTGCATAACTCAACCTTCTTCCTCTCCAAATCTAGCTTGTATTTTACGATTGTCCCCCAAGCCTTCTCTGCCCAGTATGGTAATGACATTCCTTACGGATTTGGGCTTGGTATTTGACACTGCCATGTATACTCCTAATCTATATTGGGGTCAGGATTAGACAGAGTTTTGAGAACAGTAGTGGCAGAGGTGATCTGAAATAGCACATGATCCAAACACTATATTTGAAATATATTAGGTTTTCAGTTAAATATAACTTTCAGTTTTCCCAGTCTTCACTAAGAAGGTAAAACCCAAGTTCTGCATTCGGTCATGAGAAGCTTCCCACTTTTCCAAGCCCCTTAGATGCTTTGTGGAAGCAATTTTTCCTTCAAGTGCACAAGGTTTGAAATATCCAGCATATCATCCATTACACGTAGAATACTGCCTCAGCTTGACATTGCAATTCAATCTATTTTATGAGGCATGTTCTCCATCTCTAGGACAGCATTTTTCCATATGTTAGTGTACGAAGACAGGGTACATGCATTAGAAGTCATCTGGGTATCTTAAAAGAATCCAAGGGAATTCTGATTTCATAACAATTTTGTTTTTATTTTTAAGCGGGATTTCTATATGAGTCTCATGGAGTAACTATATGTTCAACCTACAGACTATGAAGTAGAGATCTATATAGATCTTTCTTTCCTAAGCTCTGATTCTATTGTGAAGCTTGCCACTGTCTCTGAGTTTCACTCTGCTACTTATCTCGTTAGAACCAACATTTTAGGAACTCTCCCCACAAGTTCTCATAAAATTACTGTTTGTAATATTAAAAATAATGTAAGAAAATCTCTCTATACACTCACTGCCTTTGTTGTGTAACCAGTGGAACATGCTCCTTAAACTTTAAGTGAATGTAACTACATTTGAAACTTCTTGGTACCTGTGTTGACCATGTATTGCATTTCTTCCCTCCCTTGTATAGGCACATTTACTTTTATTGATCATGCTAGGAAATGTGTCTTCCTTGACCAGGAAACACTGCCTTCTAGTGGTCCATTTGCTTCCCTCTTCCACACCGTTAAGAAAATTAGCCACTGGAGTGTTCAGTCCTCTCCTGCCTTCCTTCAGAAGAAACAACTCTCAAATTCCAGTTTTCAAGGGCGACTCTATTAGGGATTTTAATTTAGAAGAGATAATTTGGATATATAGAAATATGTGAAAATAGTTTTAAATTTTTTCTGGCTCAGAAATAAATTGACTTTTTGACTTTTTTTTTTTTTTTTTTGATTTCTTATTTTATAGGCCAGAGTATATATGGCTGACTAAAAATGGAAAATGAGATATAAATACTGTGCATTGATTTACAAATCAGCACAGTTCTCTCTTTTAGTAAATCATTTAGTTGTAGAACAGATTAGAGGTGAGATACGGGTTAGCAAGAGCAAATGGAATGAATGAAAGGAATAGCCTTAAAATATAAGAATACTAAATTTGATATGCTTTTAAAACTTGAAATTTAAGTATTTATTATTTAATTTAAAATGAGCATTAGGGTAATTAAGATGGTTTCATTACTTATGACTAGAAAACACAGATTTCTGACAATGTTAATGAAGCTAAAAGAAGATTTCTGTGATTTGCACAGTATAGTTCCTCACTTTCTTTTTTGAGTAATTAGATACTTGACTTAAAACAGCACTATAAGATCTTCTTGTTGTAGAAGGGCAGAAATAGAATAAGATAAATTCCTGAAGATTCAGTTTCCAGCTATGTATCAACAGACAATATGAGAGTTCCAAAACATGATATCTTATCATGTTAAACACAACAGTACTTAACAAAAGTAATAGCTTACCAATAGGATTTAGATAACTTGTCTTTTTTAAAAAGTAACCTGGCCCAGCAAGATGGCTCAGCAGGTAAAGGTTCTTGTGGCCAAGTCTAAAGACTGGAGTTCAATCACTGGAACCCACAAGCTGAAAACACAGACTCCCAGAAGTTGTCCTCTGATCTCCATGTGTGTGTGCATCATGACATGCATAAATGTGCCCACAGACATTACAGATTAAATAAATGAATGAATAGATAAATGCAATTTTATAAAGTGAGCAGTTGTTTCTCTTGAATTGCTAATGGTGTAAATAAACTTATCAATGATATCTTTGGAAGAAATGTGCTAAAGTAATAGTCCCTAAAACCTGGTTCCTAGTAACTCTTTTGTTGTTTACCTTTTCCCCATACATCTCCCAGTGAGTCAAAGCAAAAGCTTATACTAGATATTAAATATACTTTGCTTTTCAAATACTAAAAGCAGTCATTTAAAGATTCTTTTTTATTTTCAGCTGGAAGATGTGCCTTGATCTACTTGCTTATAATCATGACTTTATTGTGTTAGTATTAATTTAATTAGTGATTTAAGAAAGTAGGACTCTGGGTTGCTGCCTTAATGTTTTTGTCAATTTTGTGGAAACATCTGGATTTTAGGATGAAAGTATCAGATGTTTTTTCCTGCAAAATATTAGAACTCAGAAATCACCGAACACAATACCTTCATTTTCCACATGTGATAATGGAACCCAAGAGAATAAATGTCACCCAGAGTTGTATAGTTAGTTATTAACATCTGGAGCCAAAACTCACTTCTTCTGACTCTCAGTCCTTTTGACTAAGATTAATCCACAGTTGTCATTTAACTATGGCAGTTTTGCTAGATCACATAAATATCACACTAATCTTAAGAAATCTATGACTTTCTTCATGTATGTTCCTTACACTAAGTAGCTTTCTGTTTATACTTTTTTACCTTGTATTTTTCACAGTGATAAAATTAATTTATAACATCATTAAATATTTGAGTTCTGTATACTTTCTGGATTTCTAAGTATTTTCCAATTTCTTCACCATTCGGTGTATAAATTGACATCTCACAGTTCATACAAATTGTTAAAAAATTCTCTGGTGTTTATTAAAAAAACAAACTTTATAGAACCATATTTTTGGTGAACAGGAAGATAATACTCACATTACGAGGTAAGAGCACAATCCTTGATGATGAGTATGAACGACTAAGGACTGTATCCATCAGTATATTTTCTTTGATCAGTTTGTGCCATGAAAAGACACTCAGGTTATATAAATGTGCATGTAAGAAACAAAGCCAACACTATCTGCTGGTTTTAGATAGAAGTTCCTAATGTCATGATTTGTGCTTTATTATTCATATACAGAAGCAGTAGTTCTAGGTGTTTCTGTCTTATATATCAGTTAATTAGGATTTGTCCAATATCTACCCTCCTTTATGAATGTTAAACTTTTTAATCTATCTCATTAGAACTCAGAAAGGGATAATAAGTGAATACTTTAGCAAGTGTGTTAACTTAGTTCTATCTTACTTATAGCTGTGTAGTTTACTCACAATTATGATTCACTAAAGCTTGCCTGGGGATTCAGAAAAACAAAGTCAGCCTCAAACTATAGAAATCCTGCAGTGTTGATATACACCTTTAATCCCAGCAGCTAGGAAGTGGTGGTGCACACCTTTAATCCCAGAACTCAGGATTAAGAAGTAGACAGATTTCTGTGACTCAAAGGCCACCCAGATAGATCTACACAAGATTAATCCAGTCCTAGAGAGAAACACAAAGGTGATCTCAGCACCTGGGATCACATGCCTTTAATGCCAACATTAGGGAGGTGTAGAAGTCAGGAGCAAGGCGTCAGTATCAGGTATTATTCTCCAGGAACATTGAGAAATATAACGTCCCAGCCCTTTTAGAGGTAAGAATTTCCTTTCAGGCAAGCTTTAATATGTCATAAATAGAATATTACTGCACTTACCCGTATACAGCTTAATGTATGATTATATACTTTCTTTGTGTTTATTTTTCTAAAAAAATAAATTGGTATACTCAATCTAAGGACATTGCTACCTATTTTATTGGGAAATGGGTTCATCAAACAACATGTTTTAGGGGGTGCATTTTATTTTGTGAATTCTAAAAGAACAATGCAGATTGGAATTTTTTTCAAGAAAACTGATAATTTTTGTTCTGCTTTTCATAGGATCCAACTGGAATATTCTCACTAGATAAAACCATTGGTCTTGGTACTTATGGGAAAATCTATTTGGTAAGTGGAACTAGGTCATTTATTCATTCATGTTTAATTTTCTAATAACAACAGTAATTATGAGTCAACCCCCAACAGTGTAAATAAAATATTGGTAAAATATAGGGCACACATTTGAAAGGTGAATAAAATTAAAATATATATCATTGAGACTTTAAAATTTATTGTTTTAATGCAAAAATGGATTGGAAAAACAATGTTGAACCAATGAGCATAAAATGCAAAATTAGTAGCAAAAATGAAACTATTTGATTGAAAGGGGGACGTCAAATAGAATGTACAAAGATTTTAGTCATCTATATTCAACTTTAAATTGAATGTTTTATTATTGATAGACAAAATTCATTAATTTTCTATATTCGTGCACATGAGTTGACAAAAGTGTAGATAGTTTGCTAAAAAAATTCTCAATAAACGCTGTACTTATTTAACAATTATATATTAGAAACTAAGTATGCCCTAGGAACTATGACAACCTCTTGGGACGAACTAATGAATGGAACTAGTGTCATTCCTACTCTTCTGGGGCTAATAATACTGAAACATATCATTAGTGTGCATATGTATAGAGGATTTTTTAAAAAACACCCACATATGTTATGCAAGTAAATACACAGCCGTACAATTTTAATTGTCATGAATTTACTGTTAGAAAACTCATAGCAATATAGATGTGTAAAACATGGAAATTCATTTAGATTGGAGGTTCAATGTTGACCTACTTCCTGAAAAATTAGAAACTGATGTCAGGAGGATAAAAATAAGGTATTGTTGAGGTGGATATTCAGACATTCCAGGGGGGTTAGGATAGCATTAAGGGCTTGCAAGTAGCCTTATCACTTTAGTCAAGCCTGCTTCTTGTACTCTAAAATATTGGAAGCTTATATTTTCTCCCTCTTATAAAGTTTTAAAATAGATGGTTATATACAAGGAAGCACTTTTTTTTCCAATGATTTTCCCTTGAAACCAGTGTTACTGTCCCTAGGCTAACCCTACTGCCCAGTTGACCACAGGTCATATTTATATCAATCATGTAGCAATGCCCCAATATAGACCTAAAGGAAATTTCTTCTTTCCCATTCGGATAAGGATGCCCTCTACAAGGATGTGTCTGGAGCAACATCTTCCTAGTGAGGCTTCTCTAATTTATCTGCCCACATGGGAGTGAGAGATGCTTTGTAAAATTTTTTACCAAAGCACATTCCACACAGTAGCAAGAGCAATGTAGGCAGGCTCTAAGTATAGAAAGCAGCTTAATGAGTACAGGGAACAGAGAGAGTGACAACAAAAACGACAAACGTTTCCTGTTGTTCTTCAAGTGGTTTTGGTCTTACATTACTTATGCAGTTTCATTTCATATTGCTAATATTCTAAGTTTTGCCACATAATACAATGATAAAACACCTTATAAATGCATAGCAAAATACCTTTTTATGACAGATACATTTAGAATATGTATATTCTATAAATATTTCAATTCCTGAGATGGCTGTGTATGTGTATATATGTATTTGTAATTCTTCTGACTAAGAAGCATAGAGCCTTCTCCATCACCAAATGTTGGAAATAAGGTAAGAATTAAAATTCATCAGAGCTCTGATGTCCTCACCAGAAGAACAGTCAAAAAGGAACAAAGGTATGTTATGCATGAAAATTTATTTTTTTAAAACTCTGGGTCTAGTATATAATGAACTGAATTTACTCATGAGTTTAAGCAAATATTGGTAATCATGAGTTTAAACCAATATTTATAATCATATAGCTATCACCACAATTAAGATTTAAATATAGATTTTATGTTAATGAAAATCAAGCAATGCTCTTACACTTAGTTGTATGGTATAATAGATGACATACAATGATTACGATTATTATAAACTTTGTTTTTACATGTAATAAAAGCCTTCAGTTGTGCTATAAGTTTTATTTATATTAAATATACTACTCTATACTTACAGTTTTTTTGGGGGGGCTTAAATGGTCTACTTCTTTAGACAAAAATAAAAGTAATGCCTTTTATATTAATGTTTAGTTTATCCATTTCTAGAATTTTCATTTCTTTATGAAAATCCAATTTTATATCTGCTATGAAGACCTTAAGACAGAATAATGTTCCTTATAGTTTGAGGCTTCTACTAATGAAATGCACGAGTTTCTTTTACTTCTGGAAGGTATTTCCAGGCATAGGGGCTTGATTGAAATTTTCTTTCTGCAATATAAACATGTCACTCCATTTCCATGTGGTTTCTATAGTTTCTGGTAAGTGTGTGTGTGTGTGTGTGTGTTTGTGGTGTGTGTGTGTGTGTGTGTTTGTGGTGTGTGTGTGTGTGTGTGTGTGTGTGTGTGGTTCTGAGATGTCCTCTCTTTCTCTTGCCCTGTCCTAGTAGTGTTTTCTCTTCCTTCATTTTGGCTGTGCCATAAACCCACACAGAGAGATTCGTTATTACATACTGTTTCTCACTTCCCAAGACTTTTGCAAATTCATGCGTTGTCCTTAGTGAGTCACATTTTAAAAATCCATGATTTCTTCATGTCTGCTTGTATGTATGTCTGTTTCCCCTGAAGCTACAGATGAGTTCATACCTTTCTTCAGACTTAAGGCTTGTTGATGGCTTTGAACTCCTCTCTAGATTCAAAAAGTGTGATTGTTTGATTTTTTTGGTTTCTTGCTGTTAGGTTAGGAGTGGTTTTATTTCTGGATTTTATACTCTCATGCAAATTGAGAAGTTTATGTAAATATCTTTTAAATGAATACTTATGATTCAGTCATTCACTGTATGGTAGGACACATCAGCTTCTAAGAATTTTATCTGAACCCATTTAGATCCAGAGCTAAAAGTACTTTCCACTGTCATATTTTCTAAGCAGAATCCAGTTTTGACATAGTGGTGATTGAAGTTCTGTTTACAACATGATGATTTTTGTTCTGTCACTCACGTGTGACTTTACCCCTCTTTATTATATTTCAAATTAATTTTTTCTGTAAAAATACATTATATTGCCCTCATAGAAAATAACATGGAGTAAGTGATCATCAATTTTAAGTGGATTATACTCTTTGCACTAATAATTCTACTTTTAAAAGTTTATAATAAAACACTCCAAATTAGAAGAATAAAGACACTCCCTGGAGCAGAAAGTTGGCATATTGTGAGGGCATAGCTCCACTGAACCAGGCAGATCCAATTCAGTGCTTAGAGCTAGGGCAGGGAATCAGTCATTTAACCCAATTACACATTTCCTTTGGCTATAATGTAGAGTTCATCCTGCTTACCTTGCAAACAGGGATGAAACTTAGAAACAGTATTTATAGAATGTTTGGCATATTGTAGATTTCTATTAAAATGACTATTACTGTCATTACTGTTGCTATTATTTCCACAAAGAAAAACTCAGTAGCATTGTAAATAATAAAAAAAATGATCGAAAGGACTTACCTTATACTTGGTATTACACTGTTTTGTAAAGCAGTATTTAGTAAAATAACAGAAGTATACTTCTAAATAAATAACATATTTATTATTACACTTATATCTTAATTATACTTAAGCTTAAATATGCAGCTGAAAAATATTGAATAAAACTATTAGATTAGTAAGTTATTGGATAATTTTTCTGCTCCAGGTTTTTTTTCTCAACTGTCTTTTCTGACTATAATGTTACATTGTTGAGATAAAAATATGTCTATATTTTACACAGATGTAAATATCTACTATATATTAGACAGTAGCAGCTGTTAAACAAGTAGCCTATACAACAAAATAGAGATATGATACCATTCAAAGTTAATGTGAGAGTGACTCACATAGTCCCTTGCTTTTTCGGGACTGCCAGCCACATCCCCTGCTGTTGTTTGTTTTGGTGAAAGTCTCTGCAATGTCTTCCAGCTTGTTTCCAAGGCCTCCTTCTCTGGCAGGTTTCCAGCTGTCTGCTGAGGTCTCTGCACATAGAAATTAAGACCGACTTTCACTCTATTCTACCTTGTAACTCTTTTCCCTTCCTTCTTCTAAGTAGACACCTATCTTCCCTCCTTATCCCTCATCCTGCCAATACAAGCTTCACTTGACATAGTGGATTTCTTTTTCATTCTTTATATTAGGAGAGAGAGAGAGAAGTACTGCTCTTTCCCCTTTCATCAAGTGGGCTTAGAAATGGCCATTTTTCTTTACCTTTAGCAACTAGTACCATAGCCTTTTGATAAGTAATTTCAATTGGAAAAATAGTTAATATTTGGCCATGGGATGACATAGGGTTATGGGCTAGTAAGATGACTCACTGGATAGAGGGGTTGCAGCATAATAAGTGTGATGACCTGAGTTCAATCTCCGAGCCCTTATGAAGTTAGGAGAAAATCAAATCTACAAAGGTGTTCTCCAATCTCCATATGTACACCATGGTACATAAGTAATGACCCCCAACCTTCCAGAGGGTAAAAATAGGTTGCAACTCATTCTTCAACGATGCAGGATAAAACTCAAATTTCTCAAGGAGCAATGTGCACAGAGGTGCCTCAGTAATCTTATGAAATATTAAGCAAGAGAACAAGACCTTTTAAGGAATAAGGGTAGAAACTAGCAACCTGACTTTCTTTCTTAAACAAAGCATGGCACTTGAATTTTCTGGGCATATTTATTCAACAATAACATAAATTATGTAGACATAATTGCCTCGGGTTTCTTGTAGCTTTGAGATCTAACACTTTACATAGTGCCTGACACCACACATAATGTAAATAAGTCTTAACTATCAACAATATAATGGCAGCAATCCTGTAGTCTTTTCACCTTCTCAAACACTAGAAGTTGATTATTGGCTAGTAGCAATTCATTGGAGTAGTTCCATGTTGTAGTTCACCCAATAAAATATTCTTCAGCATATTTTTTGTTTCCTCCTCTAGTTCATCATTTGATAGTCTTGATAACTAGCTGAGTAATTATTATCCATTGCACTGGTAAAAGTTGGCAGTAGGAATACTAAGAATGCAAAGTTGCATTGGTATA